CTATGGGCTCGTTGGGGGAAAGCGCCTGGGCCCAGTCTCCGCCCTGGGAATGACAGGTGAGGCTGCTGTGCTTGGCTATAGCAAGCCACCTTGTGAGGGTTTCCTTGTGCATTTGGGCTGAAGACAAAGATGACTGCAGGAGTGGGCAGGTGGGAGTGGGGCACGGCAGGGTGGGAGTGGGGCACTTGGCTCATCCCCAGGAAGGAGGAGGAGTCTGCAGCCCGTGGGGCCTAATATCCATCATGAGTCCAGAGCAGGAGCCAGGCCAGGTGTGGAGGGAAAGACCTGCAGGGGCCTCATCTCCCAGCCCCATCTCTGCCTCATCTGCCGCTGCTCCTCGTTACTCATCAGCAGCTGTCGCTCCTCTAAGGGTGGCTCTGGTTCCAGAGAGCGGCAAACCTCCTGCCACAGAGATGAGTCAGGAGCATTTTCAGAGGAAAATCTGTTTGAAAACAAAATGAGCGGGACACAGAAACCAAATAGAAGTGGCTGCATTTGTGCCACAGGCTCCGCCTTCCAGTGTCACCCACGTTTCCACCAGGCCTGGACTGCTGCACGGTGGCTGGCGGGATTTGCCAGTCACCTTACCAGCCAGATCCACCTCAGTACTTCTCTCAGAAGCGGGAGTACCTACACTCCCAAGCCTGGTGGAATGTGTCCCGGCGTGGTGGGGGCGGAGCCTGTGATAGCTCAGGCTGGGCTCGGGAGGACACTGGGGTGTGGAAGGGGAAGTGAGCACCTGACCTCGCAGCCGGGAGCTCGCAGGAGCCGCGAGGCCACAGCGATTTCATGGTCTGACTGGGCCTCCTGACCTGTAAACTTCTCAGCCTTGGGCCAAGCCTGAAAGATAAAACGGAGGCCCCACGGCACTTCACTCAGATTCTGCCCCTGGGCTTTTCCCACGCAGCCCCAGAAGAGGACACACGCCAGCTCCCAGAGTTAGCCTCAGAGGCCCCTGAGAGCCTCCTGAAGAGCCCTGTCAGGGTGCTGGCTGACTGACACAGCCCCAGACTTATACGCGCCTCGGTGGAGCGGGGCTCTAGCCTTTGATTCCTTCGTGGTCCAGTGCATGAGGACACGAACGTGGCAGCCCCAGGCCTTGCTCGGCGGACGGTGACCAGAGCAAGATCCTCATCTCAGGCCTGAGCCCAGCACTCTACAGGTTCCTCCTCTATGGCCTCCGTGAAGGGAAGCGCCTGGGCTCTTCCTTTCAGCTGAGGGCACCACAGGTACTAACAGGTACCTGACTCTAGTCTGGGACTCTGAGGTGGGGAAAGGAGCACTTGAAGTGGTGGTCGCAGGGAGCGTGAAGCTGGTATCAGGAGAGAGGACGGTGGGCTGGACGCTAGCTCTGGCCTCTAGGGCTCCTGTGCTGCAAGTCCCGGTTACAGATAGAGAACAGGGGCAGGGAGGGGGTGGGCGATGTGCTCTGGGTCACCAAGCTGGTGTGTACTTCTGTCTCAATCCCTTCTCTCCCACCCACTCCATGCAGGGTCAGCCCTGGTCAGACTCAGGGGAGCTGACCTCGCCTGTCTCAGCTGTCTGCCAGGATTGATGTGACCACCAGTTCACTGAGGCTCAACTGGGAGGCTCCCACCTGGGGGCCTTCGACTCCTTCCTGCTCCGCTTTGGGGTTCACCACCAAGCACTCTGGAGCCGTGATCTCGTCTCCTCTGCTGCAGCGAGCTGATGGTGCCGGGACACGCACTCAGCCGTGCTTCGGGACTCTGCGTCCGGCGCTGTGGCTAACCTGGGACACTGTATGGGCTGCGAGGACCTCAGCAAGGCCGACAGCATCCAGGCACTGTCGCAGACCTCTCAGCTTCCAGGTAAGGATCCACACACTCTATTCCCAAAGTGGGTCTCTTTGTACTAACGGGGACCTGGCGCCTCAGCCAGCAGTGGGGTGGGCGTAGTTGGTGGTGGCCTGGAGGAATCTGCAGAGCGACTTCCCATTCCGGGACTAGAGGAAAAGGGGTGCTGAGTCTGTGCTGAGCAGAGGCGAGGGGTGGGACTCGAGGAGGAGCCTCCCTGCCTCTGCCCGGGCATCATTGTTCCTTGCCCTCTGCAGTTCTGGAGAGCCCTGACTTCCAATCTCAGTGGAAATCAGGAGACCCCAGCCAAGGTCAACTGATGCCCCCGCCGTCCCGGCAGACAGCTTCAAAGTCTCCTGTACTAGCTGGCTGATTTGAGGTGGTACTTGGCCAGGCTCATTGCCTCAGCTTCTCTCCCCTGCACTCTGCCTTACCTCTACTGGGCCCTGGGGTCTGCCGGGTAACCCCATCCCCTGGGTCGTTTTCAGGAGCCGCAGAGCGTGCAGGTGGATTTGCCGGGCCTGACTCAGAAACTCCAGGGCTGATCCCAGGCGCTCGCTACGAGGTGACCGTGGTCTCCATCTCGAGGCTTTGAGGAGATGAGCTCACAGGCTTCCTCACCACAGGTGAGATGACTGGGCCCTGGGGCAAGAGGCGGGAGCCAAAATGGCGTGGGGAGTTGAGAGAAGGAGGAGGGTGAAAAGGGAGGTGGCAGAGGCTCCGGGATTGCGGAAAGGAGGCCGGTGGATCTGGGAGGCAGGGACTGAGAGACCAGCGGGGACCCTCTGAGCCCCTCCTTCCCCAGTTCCTGACGGCCCCCACTCCAGCCGCGCAGCACTCAACTTGACCGAGGGGCTCGCCTGTATGCACTGGAAGCCCCCAGAATCCCTGCGTGGACACTTCATGACGCCCAGGTCACAGCTCCCTGGGGGTGAGCAGGGCTGAGGCTCTGAGGGGATCTGTTCTGGGTGGGATTGCAGGTGAGACTGACTTGGCCGGGATGGAGGGGAGGCATTGACGCCCTTCGCACCCAGCCCCGCCTCTGCAGGCCGAGGCCCCAGGCAACGCGTGGACTACCCTGCACATGACCTCGCCCCTCCACACCAACTACACCGCCACTGTGCGCGGCTCAAGGGGCCCCAACCTCACTTCCCCAGCCAGTGATCACCTTCCAGCCAAGCAGGTAGGGTCTGTGGGTGTGTGGGACGGGGAGAGGAGGAGAGGGAGCCAGGATGGGCCTCATCCCCATCTCCTCTTTCCTGCTTTCCCTCCTAGGGCTAGAGGCCCCCGGGACTTGGGAGGCCAAGGAAGTGACCCGCACGGCCCTGCTCACTTGACTGAGCCCCAAGTCCGCCCACAGGCTACCTGCTCAGCTTCGACACCCTGGTGGCCGGACCCAGCCTGCCCCACTGACTAACTCCTCCCTGGGTGACTCCCAGGAGGTGCTGCCTCTGGCCCTCCCTGAGGGATCAACCCTCTCCCCTGACCTCTCCTTGTCTGTTCCACAGGAGATCCTGCCTCTGGAGGGGTCACATCTCACCAGCCTCGGCCCTTTCTCTCTCCACCCCTACAATGCACGCACTCCAGGCCATGTGGGGCGAGAGCCTCCTGCCACCCGCGTGTCCACCTCTTTCACCACCGGTGACTGATCAGCACGGGCCGACCAGGGGCTGTGGGCAGCCACGGTCCAAGGCTTCTGGGAAAAGGACTGGCCCTGCCTCTCTCCCAGGTGGGCTGCGGATCCTCCCAGGGACTGCGGGGAGGAGATGCAGAACGGAGCCGGGTGCCTCCAGGACTACTCACCATCTTCTCAACGGCCTCATGAGCGGCTCCTAACGGCTTTGTGACATGGTGATCAATGGTGGCTGGCCAGGTGGCATTGGGAAGCCCAGGGGTTCAGTGGCGGTGGCTGCTGCCTCGAGCCAGAGGCTGATGGGTGCCCCACTTGCTTCCCCAGGTGTTCCAGCTACTGATGGATGGACAGACAGATTCTCTGGAGGGACTGGGAGGACTATGCCTATGGCCTTGGGAACATCTCTGGGGAGTCTTGGCTGTCAGTACCTTCACAGGTTGGGGAACTACGATGGGATGGGGCCTGTGGACACCAGGACCCTGATTATAGGCTGCATCTCCCACCCCCAGGCAACGAGGCCCTGCACAGCCTGACGAGGCAGGTGACTACTCCATGCGCGTGGACTCACGGGCTGGGACGAGGCTGTGTTCGCCATGGTACTCCTTCCGCGTGAGACTGGGCTGCGGAGTATCACCGCCCGGTACCTGGAGGGCTACCACGCACCGCAGGGGTAAGCACAGGCTGCGAGGCTGGGAGGGTGAGGCTGAGGGGAGGCCCTGACTCCTTCCTCCACCCTGCCCAGGGGACTTCATGATTACCACAGCGGCAGTGTCTTCTCTGCCCGTGATCGGGACCTAACAACTTGCTCATCTCCTGCGCTGTCTCCTACCGAGGGGCCGGGTGGAGACAGGAACTGCCACTACGCCTAACCTCAACGGGCTCTAGCGGAGTGCATGCAGCATACACAGTGACCATCAGGTGAGGGGGTGGAGGGGTGCACAGAGCCGGTGGCTGGGGCTCGGCCTGTCAGGGTTTCAGCCTCTACAGGTAACAGGCAAGGGACTGAGCGGCTGGGGTGAAATGAACATCGTGCCAGCTTCACAGAGGGAGCTGGAGGTGATTTATTGGGTGGAAAGGCCAGCTCAGGATTGCCTCGATCCTCTGTGGCGTGGAGGGTCAGGAGGGAGCTGTGGGGAGGTTGGTTGAGTGCTGAGCCACCTTAAGGGAACAGGAAGAGCAGATGGAGCATCCGGCTTTGACTTCTCTTGATAACCCCTTTCCCTCAGTGGAGTGAGCTGGTACTACTGGAAGGGCTTCAGTTCTCGGTGCCCCCACGGAAATGAAGCTGAGATCAGAAACTTTCGCCTCCCAGCCGGGAGGCTGAGCTGCTGCCCACCTCTCTCGCACCCCAGCATGATCGCGAGCACTGCGGGTCGCCCGAGAGAAGAGCCAGGCCTCTACCACCCGGCCACTGGAGGAAGCCTTCTGCCAGTGATCTCGTGAGTACTATGTTTATATGGGGGGAGGGGTTCAAATGAGCAATAGCGAGAAACTGAGGTACTCCGGCTGGCATCAGTCCTGCCCACACTGGCTCTGGCCTGGGCTGTGAGCCCTCAATCCCCGGGCTGCAGCCGCACTTGGAAAGGCTGCATCTTGAGGGGATGATACTGCAGTGGGGCAGGGGCTGCAGGGGAGGGCAGGGCATCCCTCGGGGCAGCAGCGTGGAAGGCCTGCAGCAGCAGGCCGGGTCAGCACCACGAAGAGCCCCAGCCTGTGCGGCGGCCTCCCAGGCACACACGCGCCCCGCAGCCAAGGCCAGCGCTCTGGAGTCTTTGCCTGGTTCCAGGAGCGATCTGCAGGCGGGTGGATGGTGGTGGGTGGGGAGGCGTCAGCGGCTGCGACCAACCTACCTTTCACAGCAGGCCCCTGGGCCCCAGCATACCAGGCCAGAACTCCATGTGGCCTCCTCCAGACCATCTCATCCAGGTGGCGCCTTGAGGTTCGGATGATGACTGTGCCCCAGGGATGTGCCAGTAGCCGGAGATGCTGAAGGGGGCTGGAGCAGCGGGCTGCTGTGACCTCGCTGATCGGGCTTCTCACTATCCCAATCCCCCGGAGTCACCTGCTGGGCCGTGTGGTGCGGCAGGGCCAGGGGCACAACGGTCGCAGGCGCAGCACTCCTGGCGATGGTGGCATTGAGCAAGGCAGCGTGCACGGCCCTGTAGGGGACCCGGGAGCTGGAGGCACCGGGGCCTAGTTCGTGGTCTAGCTCCTCCTGCAGTCGCTGCTGAATCTGGGGAATGATCGGTGAGTCCTGTCAGCAGCAGCCCACAGCTGCCCAGCCTCCAGCCATTCTCAGCCGACCCAGTGAGCCTGGAGGAGGAGACTGCGGCCCTCTGGGCGCTACAGCTCCCCAGTCAAGACAGTTCCTTTGCAGAGCTGAGTGAGGGTGCCCACCACCCTGGCCAGGCTGGGCGGAAGGAGCCTTTCTGTCACCAGGGCGCACCCCAGGGGTGGTGAAGTAAAAACCACGGCCCAGGAGAGTGAAAGTGTGGTCTCAGTGCCACCGATGAGGAGGTCCACTGCAGCCATGTGCACGTGCCTTCCAGGAGCTGCCCAGAGCCCTCCTGATGCCCGGCCGCGCCACCACCTGAGCATGTAGTCCATCATGCCCTCTCCACTGGCCTGCCACCAAGCCTCCTGCAGAGGGTGAAGGAGTGGCTGAGCGGCTGGTCGGGGAGAGGAGTATAGAGTGGCAACAGGCCCATAACTGGGGCAATGCAAAAGAACCTCCTAGCAGTAGCAGTGCTGAGTCCGCAGCATCACTGGCTGTGGGGCTTAGGAGTTGCCGATGCACAGTCCCCACCTTGTGCTGCCTCAGCTGTTTCCTCCACGATGTGGTCCCTCTTCTCAATGGCCTGCTTCAGTCTCCGGAGACCTGGATTGGGGAAGAACTGTGGCGGGAAGCATGAGAATGCAGCTGCAGGAAGAAGCTTCTTCCTCCACCCCAGCCTCCCAACGCACTCCAGGGGTGTCTAGGGCTCCAGGCCCTTACTCCTGGAGAAAGGGAATCACGTCCACAATTTGAATGGACCATGGCTCCAGGTTTTAACACTCCTGATACATTTGTAATAGGCAGGCATTAAGTTGTCCTCCTGTAGAAAGTAAGGAGGCGTGAGCCATTGTACAGGACAAGGGGAGAGGCTCAAGGAGGGGCTGGGGGTGGCCAGAGGGGACTGTGAGGCACCTTGATCTGTCTCAAAGGTGAGGTGACAGATGATGCTGCAGGTGAGGAGAGAGAATTCCTCCTCAATGGCCACAGGGTGCCAGCCTGGGCTCAAGTGCGCTGTGGAGAAGGAACAGGAGCTCAGCAGGCCGGTGTGCAGCGGGCAGGCGGAGCTACTTCGAGAGGCGAGGCTGACCTGAGGTGGCCTCAGGAGCCTGTGCCCACTTATGTAGAACTCCTGGTCAGCTGCTCCACCAATGGCTCCATGGAGTCACTTGGATGCCCAGCAGCAGGGCTGAGCGGGTGAGCTGTGGGCTTTCAGACAGAGAGTAGTCTCCCAAGGACAGATCTGGGTAGTTCTTAGACACCAGCTTGTCTGCAGGAGGAGTTGGGGGCTGGAGGGTGGGAACTGGCCAAGGAGGCCAAGGGCCTGACCTCTCTGCCTCCCAACCTCTGCTTCCTCCCAAGATATGCCCCCCAACAGCCTCCAGGGACCTGGGAACAGGAGCCCCTGTACAGGTCCTCCCACTTGAGGCTGAGGTAGGAAGATCACTTGAGACTATGGGACCAAGACCAGCCTGGGCAACATGGCAAGACCCCATTTCTAAAAAAAAAAAAATTTAAGAAAGAAAAATGCCCCAGCCCTCATAGGTAAGTGGCTCAGGTCTGCCAGCAAAGTCTGCCCACTTTGACCATATTTCCTCAATGGTCCCTTCTCTTGGAGTCACCACCACATCTGGGGACAGCTAAAGCAGTCAGCGGAGGGAGAGAGGACTCCTCCTCGCTCTCCGCCTCCCATGGTGAGGGCTGATGCAGAACAGGCTCTCACTGCAGCCCAAGGTGGAGTTTGCAGATGGGCCCCCTCTGAGTCAGGCCAAGCAGATAGATGGGAGGCCGGGCTGCAGGCGTGCAGGAAGCCCGGGACAAGAGGCGGGAGGTGGAGGCTCCTGAGCTTCCAGCAGTTCCACAGCAGGCGGGCACTAGCCAGCAGGGCAGCAGCAGCAGCAGCCCCAGGGAACAGCATGGCGAGACCCATCAGGGCTGCGAGGGGCCACTTATAGCCTGAGAGCCTGCCATCCCTCCTGCTGTGTAGGCTGTTTTGGGCCTCCTTTGACCCCTAGCAATTTTCGGTCCTCTTCCTACTGTCCCGCCTTGACAGAGGGAGCCTCTCACTGGAATGGTACCAGTCTCATTGGCCTTGACATCCGTAGATTTCAAAAATGGATCATCCATCAAGAAGCAAGGAAGGGAAATGTAACTCCTGACCTTTCTCCCAGGAGCTGAGCCGCTTTGGCTCAGATCAACTGTGTGGTAAGGGTGTCCCCACTCTGGGCTCTCCTCTGCGCCTACTGTGGGCCAGTTTAACAAGTATGATGTTTGTCTCTTACAGAAAATGGCAGTCCTCACAATATGCCTTCCTGAAGTTCAATGTGGGATTTGTGTGGGCTTTTGTTAGTTTAATCTACAGAGAGTAAATATTGGCGAAGCCTGGCTCTGCCTGGGGCATTCCAGTGCATGGTTGGTGTGATTGCTATTAGTGCCTCCTTTTCTTACTCTCAAAAGTGCCCATGAAGACCAAGAAGGAGGTTTCTCGCTGCAAATTAACACGATTCAGACGCTGTTGCTCTAAGCACTTTGCGGTGTGACTAACTCAACTCCCCTTCACACACGCTCTATATGCAACACGGGTGTCGTCTACATGTTGTGGAGGGCAGGATTCCGGCTCTGAAACTAGCTGTAGAATATGTACCTTAGGCCACCAGGAGCACTCTTTCTTTGGTTGAAAGGAAATAGACTACCTTGATTGGCTTTGAGATCAAAGTAAGGATTGGGAATTTCACAGAACCCGGAATAAGAAAGCAGGGAGGGGCTGGCCTTAGAAAAAGTCATGGAACAGAAAAGCCCCAGAGACGGGCAGGTTCTCGCTGTTTCTCTCTCCTCTTCTTCTCTCTGCAGTCAAGTTTTGTGTTTCCAGGCACAGGCAGAACACGACTGCCTCTCGGACTATTAGAGTCCACAGGTTCTAGGTCCAGCCAGGGAGTGTGGATTCCCAGCACACCTGCAGCTGCCTCTCTGTAAGTCCAGTCCCCAGGAAGGGGCTGGATAGCTACAGCTGGATCAGGATCAGGGTCCAGCTCCATTTGGGGAATCAGGTGTAGGTGGGGCCATGAATGCCGGGAACTGTGACACTCAGAGACTCACTTTTGTGGGTAAGGAGGCAGTTTGGGGTTTGGGGAAGAGGCCATGCCAAAGAGGAGTGGCAGGGTTCAGCGAGAGGCCAGGGCCTCTGGATGGTACGTGAGCGGTCAGAGGCCACCAGGCCCATGCTCTTCTCGTTTCTGGCCTGTAGCCAGACCCAGGAACAGTGGGATCTCTCCCCAGAGCTTTCCAGATCAAAGTGCCAGGAGCCGGAGCGGCATCTCAGCTGTGCCACCCACTACATTGGTGAGCTCACTGCTGAACCACGTATCAGCATTGAGACGGAACAGGATTGGGATTTCTGCCGTAACGACAGCCACTGCCTTCATGTTGATCTTCGTGATAGGCCATGTCTTGCTGCAACTGAACTTTGGTCGGGTGTATCGGGCCAGTTGGGGGCCACCATGCTGACTGGGCAGAAAGATTCAATGGGCAACCAGAAGCATGAGTGAGCTTCCAGGAAACCTCTGCCACAGTGGAAAGGTCCAAACTTCTAACGTGCTCCATGGGATAAGAGAGCGCCTCGGGAGTGCTGAGCCACCTGGAAGCAGCCAAGGTTTACTACTATTCCCACCATCTCCATCTCTTCCACCACTTTCAAATCCAAACTCAAATATGGTCAGTTACAGTGCAATGTCCTGAAATACCTGTCCTGCCTCGCCTCCCTGGGCCTTGTATATTCTCCTTCCGCATCAGATGCTCTCACCTACCCCTGCCTTGCCTGGCTCCTTCTCAGTCTCAGAGCCCCACTTGAGGCTAATTGCCCAGGAAGCCTTCCTGTCCCTGCCCGGCAACGCCCCCTGACTTGGCTAGATGCTGACAGGCCCGCACTGCCCCTGACCACATCTCTCTACAGAGGCTGGGACTGCCCGCCCGCCTATCTGTCTCCCCAGCGATGAGCCCTGCAGTAAGTAGCTGTCTGTGGCACCTGCAGCAGGGCGAAGTGAAAGTTTCACTTCTGTTGAATGACTGATGGCAGGCTGCTGAACTGCTGTGACTCTCTACGGAAACTGACCTGCAATCTTCTTGGGACAGATTTCGAGCTGGTCTCTGAAGTCCCCAGTGTGCCACTAAATGGGGAAAGCTAGCAGGCAGCATGGGAAGGTGACCCCAGCAGGAGAACAGCAGCTTCCTCAGAGGATTCACAAACAGCACAGTCAGACTTTGGTTTGTTTGAAACTCAGTAACTGAAGAAGACACTACCGGATTCCGAGGATCGCACAACTCTGGGAACGCCACCTCACGCCACTGATAATAGAACTAAGTGCACACAGAGGCTTTCATCAGCCCAGAACTCCAGCCAAAATCCACAGACTCCTGAACCACCAGCAGCACGCAGAGCCGGGAGGTGGTGGCTGGACAACAGCTCATGAGGCAGAAGAGCAGGCCAGAGGTGCTCAGCTTTCGAGCACAACCCTGTCTGAGGCCGTGGGTGACTGCAGCCAGGCAGTGGAGGGCCTTGGCCGGTGGTGCTTTGGCATGACTTGGTCCCGGGGCAGGCTCTGGTCCCAGTTCTGCCTGGGCATCTCAGAAGGCATGACTCACGGGTCATCTGGGAAATTGACAGAGCTGACAGGCCCAAGGGTCATCAGGGCTCAGAGGGTCTGAGGCATGTCAACCTGGCCTGCCCCAGAACTGCAAATGCGGAGGGCACTGCTCTCGCCCTAGTGGACATACTGACGCTTTGCTGCCAAACCTTTGAATATGCCTTGGCCTCAGGTTTGTGTCTAGAAAAGCGGAGGACAGCAGTGCTTCCAGCTTTATGGTTCCCTAGGCTCAGGCTCCCCTCCCGGGGTAGGCGGGAGGGCAGCTCCTCACACCCTGCACCCTGGGAGTGCGACACTTCCTGAGGAAGTCGTTGAGCCGGTGGCGCAGGCTGCCCGCCATGTGGTGCCTCCGGCACAGGCGTCAGAAGGCATCTCCCTAACCATAGAGATCTGAGTCCAGCAGGTACTGGGGCTGGTAGGGGGCAGGGCAAGAGCTGCAGGGCTTGGGAGGATGGCAGTTGGGAACAGAGAGCAGTGCATCTGGCTTGGGAAGGGCAAGGCCTAGGTGGCCAGGCAGGATGGCGAGACTGAGGGATCAGATGACTCACTGTCCTCGAGGTCATAGGTGGCCCTATCCAGAATTCCCACACTGTATATTCTCTCCCAGGTCGTGCTTGGAAGTGGCAGAGGCTCAACCAGGAAGTTGCGATCTGATTAACAGTGTGTATTTTGACATCCTTGCTGCAGGGATGACGTGCACAAAAGGGGTCAGGAGGGAGAGAGCGTGGTGGTGGCTAGCCCAGGCCAGCAGCTCTGTGTAGCTCCTCTATCTGACTTGGATACTTCTGCGAGAGGTACCACTGCCTCTCCTGATTTATGGCCAAGCCCAGGGCTTGACACGCCGAGTGGATTTTCAGCACTCTAGATGGTCAGGCCTCCAGCCAGACCTTAGCCTCCTGTCTCCCCAGCCCTGCCTCGCCGGTTCGCTGCATACTGGGAAGGCAGGACTTGGGTGATCTTGGTCTCAAAGAGGCGGAGCCGCCTGTCTTCTCGGAGAACTCCAATCGAAGCCTAAGAGGGGCTGGAGAAGGGAGAAAGGTGAGCGCATTTTCAGGCCAGGAGAGGGCAGGAAGTTGGGTACACAGAGCCAGGTGAGCTGCATGCGCTGTGACCTGTAAGAGGGCAGGCTAGCACCAGGAGAGGCCAAACACTGCAGTCCCCTGAGGGAGGGCCAGGCCAGGGCCTGGGGTGGGAAGATCTGACCTGATTCTTGCTAATGGGGTAGTAGCAGCAAACTCATCCTGTAGCCATCCTCGTCCCAGACCCCGCCTCCAGGCGCTAATGCTGGCGCAGGCACTTCCTCTGTGTTTGGGGCCTGGCCACAGTGTGGGGGTCCTCGGCCATCTCACTCCACTGCCCTCACTTCAGGCCTCTGGTCTCACCTCAGCACACTGGCAGACTTCAGCAGAACACATGTGGCCAGGAGTCTGCCTACTGGCAGCCCTATAAACACAGAATGACTGCGCCTGAGAACAGAGAGGAGTTAGGCACGGGTCCCTCTGTTCTGCCTCTCAGTCCCAGGGAGCCTCAGCGCCTTTCTGCCCCCTCTACACTACCTCAGGCCCAATCACCACAGGAGGGTGCTCCCTATGCCAGCTCTCCCAATCCAGGGTGCCTGCAGTGCCTTACCCGGCCAGTGGTCGACAGGCAGGCGCTGATGGGCTGCACCAGCCCCACGGGAACTTCCTGCACAGCCTCAAAGCCCACGCACTCCCGGGAGGTGGGACTCCAGCCCAGCGTGGGGAGAGAGATGAGGGATCCCACTCCTGGGCCCTGCAGCCCCTATACTGGATTTCCTTGGCTCTGTTTTTGTTTGGTTCCTGTTGGCCTTCTCTCCAGTAATGTGTCCTTCACATTCTGGTTACCTTCCTACTCAGAGAACTCTCCAAGTTGCTCTGCAAGGCCCTGGTGACTTCACTTCCCAGAGGGTGACCTTTTGCGCCAGCCCTCACTGCCCCAGGCCCTTGAGAGTCTCTGGGATCATGGACATGTTCCCAGACTTATCCTGCTTAAGTGCGAGCCTGGCACTTGCTTCCTGAGCTGGTCATTTCTTACGCCCTCCTTCTGAACTTGCTTCCTTGTACCCCCTGTGGGTCCTCAACCACCTCACTTCCACCAAACCACCCAGCTGATAGATTCCTAAACTGCACTTGCAGCTCCATCTCTCAGCATTAGGGTTTTGCAGGATCTTGTAAGTTCTGTACAAAATTTATCTGCTCCCTAAACTCCATCCTACTCTCTGACAGCCTCAACTTTGTCATCATGGAGGCAACTGGGTCCTCT